CCCCCCCCCCAATTATCATATTCAATTCTAAGATGAGAGTTTTTTCACCCATGTTAAATGGGGGGAAACAATTATCTTGGAATTGAGTTAATATGATAACAACCAAGCAAAGAAGAAATGGAAATCAGTTTACATACTTTTAAATGATTGTTCAGTGATAATCTTTATTCTTAGCATGTATATTTACATATGCGTGCTTGAAATTTAATGTTTTCAGATATGTATTGGTAAATAAAAACCAAGAAGTCTAAATGCCTCTTACGAGCATGAAGCATGATTTAAAAGGATTTACTATGTGAAGCCATTCTAAATTCAAAAAGTTCATATGAAGATTAACTTCTCACAGAAACAGATTTGGGATTATACTTTTTTAGTGATGGTATTACTTATTCACATAATAATGGATTCTATTTTATGTGTTTATTCTAATTGTAGATAGCACAGGTCATAACATCTGAAGTTAAGTTTGTCAGATGCTTTCTTGTGTTTTCAGTTGCTTGCCAAATCATAACTATTAAGGCTGAAATTGGTCCATGCCCGATATCTGCCTGTGACTGATATGTTTATTAATTTAAAGATTTCAGTTAAAATGATTCAGTTGTTCACAAGAAAGAGAAGGGGAATGTATGTTGTTTTATCCGTGTTAAAAATAATATAATTGTTTCCTGAGAAGCCCAGTTCCAAGAGTACTTTGTTTTTTTAGTCAGAGGAGTAGGTGTCAGGAATGTGCCATTTGTTACCTTGGCAAAAATGTTTTCAGCTCTGGTTAAATTCTAAGTTTTTAAATGGATCTTGTTAGAGTGTCCCCATCCTCAGTGGTGACTTGTTAGAGTTTAGCAGTTAATTCCCTGAAGATTTCAACTACACTGAGCATGCTCAGTCCCCTCAGAGACCTTACCTAGCAACTAAGGGCGCCTGTACACGTACATTGAGGCTGCTCTGACACATTGTAATAACAGTGTGTCAGAGTAGACTCGATTAATCAAGTCTGCCAGAGCTTGGTAATTAACACACTCCAGCAGACTCTAGTGTCACGTGTCATCATCCCCGCGCTGAAAAATGGCGGCGGGGCACTTTAACTAAAGCTTGCTCACTGAGTTTTAGTTAAAGCCCCCCCCCCGCCATTTTTCAGCGCAGGGATATTGATGCATGTGACTCTCCACATGCTTTAATTAGAGAGGCTCTTGGCAGCATCCCCCCATCACCTCCCACAGCACGTGTATGAATGCCCTCACGTTTTTGCATGCACCAGCTCCACAATATGGCTGTGCAAGGTTCTGCATACAGTAATATATGACCATGTAATATAATGAAGAATATACACAACCAAGCCAAGTTAAGGCTACACCAATAACCTTCAATTTTGTATTCCCTAGCACTGAGTATTGAATTGAGCTACTTTGACAATCTTTTACTGTAGTTTTTATGGATCTCATGCTTTATAAAATAGAAAAGATTGTGGCACAAACTGTATATAAATATTTTCTTCTGCTATGGTGGTACTTAACTTTTTTTTTCTCTTACAGTTTTCTAATAAATTGGTAGCTCAGATAGCTTGTGATGTTCTACAACTGCTAGTTTCATATTGGGAAAAGATTCAGAAGTACGAATCTTCTCTGCCCCGGAAAATTACTGAAGTATGTCTATCTCTTAAAATATTCATCTGTGGGAATGGCTAATACTGAAGTTCTGTATTACTTTTTAATAAAGAAATTTAATTACATTTAATTTAACTCTTAACTTCCCTTGGTCGCTATTAAGAGAGGTGTCTGTGGTAGTTCCTGGAACGTGATTATTTTTTCTAGCTTGCACAAATTTCTTCTGAGGATAGGCTAATTGGAGAATAGGAACTTTGGACATCTATACACGTGCTTCGGGGTGAAGGAGCAGGCACTTTAATTAGAGCAGCTCCCAGAGCCACTCTGATTAAAGTGCCCACAGCATCATGTGTATTCAGTGTCCTATGCTTCAAAATGGCAGTGGGGGCGCTTGAACTAAAGTTCATTTGACAAGCTTTAGTTCAAGCACCCCTGCTACCATTTTGAAGTTCAAGGATGCTAAACAGACATGACACAGAGGCTGCTCGAGCATATTAAATAAAATGCTCAGCAGACTCGATTAATTGAGTCTGCTCAGACACATGGTAATTAGCACACGTTGGAGCAGACATCTGGCATGTGTATAGGTGCCCTTTCAGTTTAGTTCAGGCATCTTATACAAAGTCAGAGGTTCAGGCCCTGTGTACTTAGTTTAATAAACAAAATGTCTTTTTATAATTTTGCATGTCTGAGGATTTGTTTCTTTTACGCAGATCCTTGTGGCCACTATTGCATTTTTATTGCCTAGTGCTGAATACTCTTCTTTGGAAGTGGATAAAAAGGTATGCGACTTAAAGCACTAACCTTGTATTTGTTTGTGTTATTTGTGGTACTTATTGAATGGAATGCCTTAATCCTGAATCTATTGTTTTTAACTGTGTAGCTAATGAATGCTTTAACATTTTTGTGAATTTGATGAGTCATCCTTGCATATTGTTTTTGCATATTTCTGTTTAGTTTATAGTTTCATTATTACTTTGCTTGTTGGATTGGTGTATGGCATTACCACTGAAAACCTTACTAGAGCCAGCCTCTGTTGGAGTCCTTGAAGATCAGCATTCATCCAAAGCTCCATTACTGGATTACATATACAGGGTAACTATGAAAGATCAACTCATTATGATTCAACCTAGAATACTTTTATATCCCAATAGGCACAGAGAACCATTTAGCTAGAATTGTGGAAGCATGGGCAATGAAAGCTGGAAGCATTGTCAGAGTGTAGAGAGGAGACAATATCTCAGTAGCATATAAGAGGTCATAGGGTAAGGATAAACTATGTAAGGTTTTGAAAGGAAGGCAAAGTGTTTGAAGTTGATTTGATGGAGATGCCAGACCCTGGGATGGGATGCAGAGTGAGCCAGGAAAATGATCTTTGCAGCCATGTTTTGACTTATTGCAGTTAGGGTGAGATTGCATTTAGCAAGGTTAGGAGCTCACATTTTGCATTTGTCAGAGCACAAGATGATGATGAGATTAGCATTTCCTGGATTATAGCATATGCTGCTGTAGTAAATAATCAACATCTTTTGTAAGTATAACTCCTCACAACATTTGCCTTAATTGATATCTTTATGTACAGTTTATTTCTAGTACTGTTTCTTTTTTTATTCTTGTAGGTTCTGCACTGTTGTGTTTATGGCTCGAGCACATATACACAACAAAGCCATTATATTTTGAGTCTTGCTGATCTCTTATCTAATGACTATGATCCATTTTTGCCATTGGGAAATGTCAAGACTTCTGAGCTGGCACCGTCTCTCTCCTCCACTGATTTGGGTAATCTACTCACTGTTGCAGAGGGTAAGGAACTCCACAAACAGCTGCTTGCCAGTTGCCAGCATTTCCCTATTTAACAACTGAAAGATATACTAGAATTCTATGTAGCTTTTTTAGCTGAAAAATGTGTGTGTACTTATCACACACCCAATCCTGTACTTAACAGGAAAATGTTGAGGTTGAATATGTAGTCAGGATCAGTTTATATGAGTGTATTCATTATAGATTTGTGCGTCTTACAATCCTAAAAGGAGGTCTCCAGTAGCAGTAAATATGTCTTTATTCATCTTAGTGGATATTATTAATTCATACAGATTAAATTTACTTTTAGAGCAGTGCAACATTTCATTTACTACCTTACATACGCAAAAACATAAGAATTAAAAACATAGATGCAATATAAAGATGTGCAGGATAATGCTAGATGCAGTATAAGGATGTGCCAGATAACAATAGACTTCCTGTGGTATCTTGACATGTAGTACCCTGTGTTACTTACTGGAACACATTTTTATCACTGTGTAATGTTTTCTTTTTAATCCTCTTGTGCCTGTGGGGTTTTTTTAGTTTAACAAAAATGTTATAAACATTAAAACCTGTTGTTCTGTGCACATTTCTTGCTAAGTGGGTACATTTTGTGAACAGCAGAAAGATAAAAATAGATACAAGGTAGATTGGTCACTTAGGTAGAACAGAATGTTTCTCTTCTTGAATATGTTTGTGCACATTCTGTTTGGCTTGTCCAAAATGAAACGGGTACAGAGAAGGGCTGCAAGGGTGATTGGGGGACTGAAGAACCTTTCTTACAAGAAGTTTGCCTTGCAAAATGAAGGCTAAAAGAGTATATGGTTGCTTTCTATAAATACCTGAGAGGGGAAAATACTGGGGAGGGAAAAGAGCCTTTTAAGGTGAAGGAAAAAGTGTGGTCAACAGCAAATGTGTATGAATTGGCCATTAATATATTTAGGCTGGAAATTAGAAGGTTTTTAACTATCTGAAACAGCTTCCCAATAGGAGTAGCACAGACCAAACACCAAACAAGTTTTAAGATAATGCTTAATCAGTTTACCAAAGGGGTCATATCATGGAGGGCCCTTCTATGCGGAGGTTTCTGTTCTTTTTTTAATCCTCAGCTGCTTTCCACCTAATGTTTAAAAATGCAGGAAATATCCCTTTCATTTGTTACATGCTTATCACCTACTGTCTCACGCACCTTTGTTAGGTCTGGCCATATCAATATAGTAGACTTAATCAAGTCAGAGGAAAATAGAAATGTTGCTGTTACAGCTGTTATAGTAGCAGTAGGCATTGTAGGAGCACTCAGTGTGTATTGTTCAAATGATAATACTAGGATAGGCTGAAAATAAAGTATTAGTTTTATAAGGTAACTAGCTGCAATAATTAAACTAAGCGAAAACATTAAAATTATGAATTGATTTTTAAAATTTTTTTTTAGTATTCTCTGAAATCACTAAAACTTTTAGACATAATTCCCACCATTTGAAAACATGGCAGCTTGAGCTGACTATTATTTTTATATTACCATATTCACTTGAATCCAAGACAAGGTTTTTATTCCCCATTCAGCTTGGGGGAAAAAGAATCCTTGTCCTGGATTTAAGTACAAGTGGCAGAGGGAGGGGGCAGCAGCTTGAACTCTGCCCGCGGCTCCTGCCTGCTCTCCCCCCTCCTCCCTCCCCCCTCCCACCACCACTGCTTACTTTCTTCTTACAGCTCCAGTTTTGGCTGGAGCCCCACTCTGGCTCAGGGCATGAATTCCTCAGCCTTGCAACAGTAGCATCAGTGGCAGCAGCTCTGGCCCCAGCTTTGAGGCCAGATCCAGAGTTTCTGCTGCTGCAACCTCTGTTGTGTGGCTGGCTGGGGGCTAGAGGCAGCATGTGCTCTGTGCTCCATGTTGTTGTCCAGAGCAGGGCCTGAGCCAGAGTCAGAGCTGCAACGATGTGGGGGACAGGCAGCAGGAGATGCAAATGAGGGAGTAGTGAGGGGTATGGGCAGGCCACTTGACTCCCATGCTGCCTTCCCACCCACCACCTGCCCCCCAGCTGCTGTTTGCTATGCTGCAAGGTGGGACCAATTTAAGATGACCCTCCAAAAATTAGATTTTATACATGGAAAATTATATATAATTTTAGATCTTAAATTATAAATTGTATTGGATTGGGGTAAACATGGTACTTTCCTGAATTAATTAAAACTTAAACATTAATTGGTTTGACCCATCTAATAGCAAAGTTAATGTAGAAAACTAACTCCCCCACCCCAGCTTTGATGAGTTCTTCCATTTTCCATCTTATCATGTATCCAGCAAGCCACCTATTACCCACACCCTCTCAATTTCTCATCTTTTGATTGACCTTTTGCATTTTCTACCTTGTAATTGCCCACACAGAGTAATACTCACTGGTATAGGATACCTTTGCCTATCTCTCTTGATTCATAGAGGGAGGACAAGTTCCATTAGTTCTTTACCTTTCAACATTATCCATGGAGTCTAAGGGTTTTTTCTCTTTTTGAGGGCAGGCTGCATGAAAATACTCATACAGGAATAATCTTAATAAAAGCAAAGTGTATTAAAATAGAGAAAACGGAAGCAAACGATTTGTTTTTAGATTTGCCATTCTTGAAATTATGAGATGCATTCAGTTCAGTTATATATCATGGGAGTAACCCTCCCCTCTCCCCCTGCCTCGCACAAATGCATTGTTTGCCCTACAGGAATCATTACTGTTTAGAGAAAGGAATCTCCCTCTTTTCCTCCTTCCCAAAACCTTCCCAAAACCATCCCAATTGCACACTTTCCAGGCCAATTGTCTCTACCTCACGATACACACAACAGAGGAGCAGATTCATATGTCACTTTGAAGACATGTCATAGAGAAGAGGTATATTACTGAGCTGTCATTGTTAGCCTTCTTTCAAAAACTTAATGGCATAGTTCAGACACCAGCTTTTACAGGCTTGCTTGTCGGGTAATATCTAATTTTGGTCAGTCCTCTTGCTAAAACTCCTAAAGCAAGGTTTGTTGGTTCTCTTTGTCTCTGTCTACCTCTCTCTCTCCCCTTATGTACAAGGACCCATATTTCTTGCATAAAAAATCCTTGCTTCTTGGACAAGGACCCAGGCATTTTCACAATAGGGTTCAGCTGCATTTTATGGCTGCCTGTTGGAGTGAACTTGAAGCCTGTCAGGTTTCAGCACTGAAACAAAAGCTAAATGCTTGATTCTGTCAAAAGTTTTATTACTCATGGTTATTGTAGAGTATGGAGGAATAATGTGCATTACTTCTAACTATCCTATCAGTTTACCAATTTGTTATTATCCTGCCTGAATACCTAGAGGAATACCTAAAGGAAACTACAGAGCTGATTCTCTCTCAGTAGAAACCACAAGTATACATATATTTGGGAGTTTTCTTCCAGAGCAAAAATGGCCACTCCAGGAGAAAACCCAGAGACAACCGTATTAAATTGCTCCCAAGAGAGTTTCCCCTGGGAGACTGAATGTCTGTATACTTTCTTTTATGAAAGAAGCCACAACACAGTTCTTCAGCATACTAGGGTGCTTCATGCCCTGCTTTCCCCCCACGACATGGTGTCACTCAGGCTGGACCCTACAGCTCCAGGTGAGCAGGGAGCAGAACATGCCCCTTTCACCATCCCCATATTGTGCTTTAAGGAGACCCAGGCTGATTCCAGTCTGAGTCAGCCAATCCAGGCTGCCCTGTGCTGCTGGCATCTGTCTTCAGGCAGACTGAGGGAGCTGACAGAGCATGCTGAGATGTGTGAACAGAGGCCTCCTGGCTGTGCAATGTCAGTGCTGCTAGCTCTCTGGTCCTTATGGGCTCAGCATCCAAATGTCTGTTCAGACATCTCTAAGTTATTTTTTTCTATCAAGAAAACAAACCCAGGAGAATTCCACCAAATTATGTGGGTGTATGTATGCATGCAGCCTAACAGAAATGAAACAATGGGAAGGATAAAATGTTATACTAAAGAATACCAAGGGATTTCAGGGAAACAATGGAAAAGCTATTAAGTGGAAAATAACACCCCCCCCCCCCCCCCCAGGCTGGTGCCCACTAGGGCTGGCAAAGATTATTCTTTCTAGGACCAAAGGGCATTTTAAATCAGAAAGATGTCACCCTAGGAAAGAAATAAGTAAATAAGGATACTGAAAGGGTCATCAGCAAAGACTGAAACTGAGAGACTAAGCCAGAAATCATGCTGCAGCCAATCAAGCTGTCCTCCCCGCCCAGAGAGAGAGGTAATTGGACCGAAACAAGCTTAACACAGTTTGCAAGGAAAGATTAGGACTTAAGTATGGGGAAATATTTCTAAAGACTTGTATTGCTTAAACATTTGGCTTTGAATATTCTCTATCTTGAAATAAAAGAATAAATAATGCTTTGTTTTGAAGCTGTTTCTCTGTGATTGCAAATTCATTCTGTCACAGGCTTTTGATGGAAAAGGGCTTATGGTACCAAACTCAGTTGAGTCAGTCAGCAAACAGGAGCTATAGCCCAGAGATCCAGTGAGAGTGATAGCTTTATGTGTTTCTACCCAGGTAGGTAGCCAGATGTACTCAAAGGCTCTGAAAAGGAGGTAAAACACAGCTCATCCGTAAATGTGGCATTCTTCTTCTAGATTTTAATCTGATCTGGACAAGAAATTATATGCTGTAATATTCAATATTATGTAACAAAAATTCATAGAGCCACAAAGAATGTTTAAAAGCAATTATCTGTTCAACTTTTTTAAAGATGTAAATCATTGAATAGATGTTAAAGCTGTCTACTAAGAGAGGTGTTAGAGCTCACCTCTGGAGGGTGGAGGGAGAGGAAATACCTCACAACCCACTTCTGTTATGTCTTGCAAATGACTGGAATACGTCTAAACCATTGTGTTGGAGGGAAGGCAGCTACTTTGTGCCTTTGAGGAGGAAAGATATGTAGTAAAGTTCAGTAGTCTCAAAAGCTCCTCTCTTCAAAAGTCCTAAAGAATTAA